TAATACACTAAAAGGCTCATACACCACGATCAATAGGGATTTATCCTAGGGATGCAAGGATGGTTCAACATTCACAAATCAATCAACATGATACACCACATTAACAAAATAAAGAATAAAAAACACTATGAAAATGAATATATGTATATTGATGTACGGCTGAAGCATTGTGCTGTACACCAGAAATTGAGACAACATTGTAAACTCACTATACTTCAATTTAAAAAGTATTTAAAAACACATATAATCATCTCAATGGATGAAGAAAAAGCATTTGACAACATTCAACACTAATTTATGATTAGAAACTTTTAAAAAAGTGGGCATAGCAGGAGCATACCTCAACATAAAAGAGGCCATATATAACAAACCCTCAGCTAACATATTCAATGGTAAAAACATGAAAGCCATTCCTTTAAGATCAGAAACAAGACAAGAGTGCCCACTTATGCCGCTCCTATTCAACATAGTATTGAAAGTCCTAGGCAAAGCAATTAGGCAAGAAAAATAAATAAAATGCATCCTATTTGAAAAGAATTAAAAATTGTCACTATTGTGGATGATAGGATTTTAGATATAGAAAACTATAAAAACTCCATTAAAAAAACCTTAGAAATAATGAACACAATAAAGTTGCAAGATAAAAAATCAACATACAAGAACCTGTTGCATTTCTATATGCTAATAATGAGTCAGCAGAAAGGGAAATGAAGAAAAAAATCCAATTTTCATCACAACAAAAAAGAACAAAATACCTAAAGATAAATTTAACCAAGGAAGTGAAAGACCAATAACAATGAAAACTAAGACATTTTGGAAAGAAACTAAAGAAGACACAAGTAAGTGGAGAGCTATTTCATGCTCATGGATTGAAATAATTAACATTGTTAAAATGTCCATATTACCTACAGTTATTATTTACAAATTCAATGTAATCCCTATCAAAACCTGAGGATATTTTTCACAGAAATAGAACAAAAAAATTCTAAAATTTATATGGTACTACAAAAGACCCTAATAGCCAAAGCAATTCTGAGAAAACAGCAAAAACAAAAACAAAGCTGGAGGTATCACAGTCCTTAATTTCAAGTTATATCACAAAGCTATAGTAATAAAAACAGTACGGTATTGGCAGAAAACCAAATATATACATCAATGGAACAGAAGAGAGAGCCCAGAAATAAACTCACACACGCATGGGCAATTAATTTGTGACAAAGCAGCAAAGAACATACAATGGTGAAAGGCCAGTCTCTCTAACATTGATGTTGGGAAAACTGAACAGCCACATACAAAAAAATGAAACTAGACCACTAACTTACACCATATACAAAAATTAACTCAAAATGGATTAAAGACTTGAATG